TCCCAAAATATTAAACTTCTGTCCAATTTAAGCGTAGGTCTTACCGTGGTAGCAATAGAGGGATAAATGAATATACAGGCTAATTCAAGGTGGATAGCCCATTAGATATTTCTGGTGAAGTCGATGGAGAGCATGTTCGGACATTCTCTACCCAGCTAAAATATGTATTTTCGACAATGTGATGTTTAATTCATCTAATAATTAATTTTCAATTGTGAAACTCAGATTACTTAGTCCTGACGAAAAGTCTCTATTCAGAGACGACACCTTAGCGACATTTTACAGGGTGTTTCAAACTCGATCCTCAACATTGGGATCTCGGAAACTATGAGAGATACTAAGATGGTTAAGTTGGGGCAAATTGGCTATTTACCTGACTGACAATATGCCGTTGAGAAACTTCTCAAATTCCGAGTATATCCGGAGATATCCGTAAAATACAGAATTTCGGAAAATGGTTTTTATATTTTTCTGACTTTATTTTTTGAAGGATTCGAAAATGAATTGCACTTACACATTGCTACTTTTTCCCTGCTACATAGTGGTGTTTTCGGATTTGCTATACGACGTTTCGTCTTCCTGCCAACATCATTAACTTAATTTTTTCTTATGGGCGCTACATTAGATTCTTTTTGTTTTGAATAGAACCAGATTTCACCTTTCCAACTCATGAGTTATCATTCTTTTTCGAAAAATTGGAGGTATTGAAAAAAATTAATTATTATCATGATAGGCTTTGACTTTGATGTTTCTAAATTTGACTTTCAATTTGTTACACTCAATGACATGTTGTTCTGGCACAAGTCATTGAATTTTTGTCGTAAAATGGCTTTCACGAATGGAGAAAAAAGAGATATGATACAAATTTATTACAAATACGACAGAAACAGTGTGAGGACATCAGAAATGTATTTGAACTTGTATCCCGAAAGACGATAACCACATCGAACTATGTTCAAGTTATCAAAATCTCACCAAGTTTGATTCATTTGAAAAGCCGAGGAAAAAATACGGAGACATAATGGACCAGGAAACTAAAGAAAATTGAGGTATGTTTGAGGTAAGTTAGACATTGAGTTCTTTTCAATAAAAATTAGGAATTTGCAGATGAACTTGAACCCGAGGAAATCTACATGTCAAATTTCCTCTGAAATGAATATTTGTTATACAAGTGCTTGGAAACATCTCAAAAAACCGGTTTAAAATGTTTCAAAATACACATATCTCAAAAATTGCACCCAGGTGGTCCCGAAAGACGATTAGAATTTTGAAATTGGCTAATAAGAAGACCTGTTTTCTTGTTTTCCTAGAAAATGTAATTTGGACAGATGAAAGCACTTTTACGAATTGTGGGATATTCAACCAAAATATCGAACCCATTTGGAGCATAAAAAACCCCAGACAGTTCCAAGAGATTCGACCTCAAGTGCGATTCAGTTTCAACGTGTGGGTAGGAATTTACAAAGATGAAATTTTGGGTCCTCATTCATTTGACGGAATTCAGAATGGAGGAACCCATCACGAGTTTCAATGTCGATTTTCAAAGACTATTTGGATGATCTACCTTTGGCTAACTATAACAAAATCCGGTTTCAACATGATGGTGCTCCACCGCACACTACCAGGCGAGTATCTAATCACCTGACTAAAAGGTTTGGTGATAAATGAATAGGTGGTGATAGGATACATTTTTGAGGGGTACACTGCAAATAGACTTTATGGTCAGAGGGAATATCAAAATATTGAGAACCTTCAACACAGCATTGCTAGAGAGTTCAGAAGATTGAGGAGGAGGAAAATTGATTGTGCAGTGAATAATATTCGAAAAAGGGCACAGTTGTGTTGTCATGAACAAGGCCACCATTTACATGTTAGTTAATTATTTTGATTTGTTCAAAGTTCTATTTTCATTGGAAAGAACACAATGTTTACTTTACCTCATAAACACCTCATTTCAATTGTTGATTCTGTCTCCGTATTTTTTCATTGGCTTCTCAAACGAACCAAACTCGGTGAGATTTTGATCCAATAACTTGAACATAGTTCGATGTGGTTATCGTCTTTCGGAATACAAGTTTAAATACATTTTCGAAGTCCTAACTCTGTTTTTATTGTATCTGTAATAAATTTGAAACATTTTTTTTCGTTTATCGTGAAAGCCATTTTTCGCCAAAAATTCAATGACTTGTACAATAACAAAATGTCATTGAATGTAACAAATTGAAAGTCAAATTTAGAAACATCAAAGTCAAAGCCTATTAGGATGAGAATTGATTTTTTTTCAATATCTTCAATTTTTCGAAAAAAGATGATAAATTATGATACATAATTCAAAAGGTAAAATCTGGTTCTATTTAAAACAGAAAGAATCTGATGTAGTGCCCATACGAAAAAATAAAAAAATAATGTTGAAGATGGTAACCGGAGGACGAAACGTCGGATAGTAAATCTGAAAACAGGTGGCAATGCGGAAATGCAATTTAATCGAATCCTTCGAAAAATAAAGCCAGAAAAAAATAAAAACCCTTTTCCTAAATTTCTGTTTTTTTCCGGATATCTCCGGATATACTAGGTATACATATTTCTGGCTCCTGCTCACGTAGGTTACGATATACCAAAAGGTGATCAGCACAATTTCATTCAAAAAAGTAGTTGTGCGATTTGTAATAATAGAAATTTTCATGATGTGACTGATGTTGAACAAGTTGGGAATGGACACAAGTTCATCAACTCTAGAATTTTCAATGTTAAGACAATGATTTCTATTTGAATCCCCTGTACAAACTGAATCATATACAGTTGGAGTTTAGGAATCTATTCCCATTCGTTTGTGAACTTAGTAACATCCTCAGTCGGTGGATATCATAGGATAGATTACTCCCATAGCTAACGATTGTTTTTTTTTCTTTTAGTTTTTATCCAAAGTTGTTTACAAAATGCCCCTTAATATTTGCTGTGAATATTGTCGCGTATACAGGGCTTTTCATGATGAGCGTTAATTAGCCGTTTCTGACAAACTATTCAACGGATCAACCTGAAAATTTCACAGTATGCATGAATCAATATGACCTACACGTCTAAAATATTTCAGACGAAGCGGCGTTGTCGCTTCTACTATAAAGTAGCGGCTTCTTTGAGTTTTCAAATGGAACACCCCGTATATAATATCATATTATGATTCATTATCACTTTGTC